TTCATCTTCTTCATCACTCTGAGTTGGGTTTGATACTATCATTGATTTCTTTCCTTCTTCAAATGTGACACAGTCTCGTTCGACTTTCTGCTTCTCTCAATTCTAGTAGCTGTTTTTATCCACCGTTATATTTTTTCGAATCATAAGCTTGTTGGTTTTCAAGTTTAGAATTCTGTATGCTTTTGTTTCAATACTGTATCCCAAAAATACTCCCAACTCAGCTTTCATTTCTAGCTTGGATCTCCTATCATCCGAGACATGGCAGTAGCACACTGATCTAAACACCTTTAGATACTTTGTTGATGGTTTCATACCACTCCAGGCCTCTACCGGTGTCATCTACTTTACAGCCTTTGTAGGCAGCATGTTGAGCAGGAACACAACAGTGTTCACTGCCTCAGCCCACAAGGCTTTAGGCAGGTGCTTGTCAGCAAGCATGCTTCTTGCCATTTCCATAATGGTTCTGTTCTTCCTCTCCGAGACACCATTTTGTTGAGGAGAATATGGTGTCGTGAGCTACCTTTTGATCCCATTCTCAGAACAGAAATCATTGAATTGGCTGGAATTGAATTCAAGCCCATTATCTGTCCTTAGGTACCTCAGTACACTGCCACTTTCCTTCTCTACAATAACCTTGAACTTCTTGAATTCACCAAAAATTTGAGCTTTATTCTGCAGGAAACAAACCCAAATCATCCTGGAAAAATCATCTATGAACAAGCCAAAATACCTGCAACCACTCATGGAGTTTTCTGTCATTGGACCACAAATGTCAGAATGGATAAGTGTCAGCTTCTCTTTTGCTCTCCAATCTGCTTGCGAAGGAAATGAATTCCTTGTCAATTTCCCTAGCTGACATGCACCACATACTGTCTCAGTGACTGCAATATTTGGGAAGTCCTTGGTTAGACTTTCCTTCTGTAGTTGTTGTAGCCCAGCCGCATGAAAATGCCCAAGGCGCTTGTGCCAAATCTCGCCTTCAGTTACAGAGGCAACACTGGCTCTTTCAACTACTTCTCTGAGTTTCAAGGAGTAGACTTGATTCTTCTTTTAGATGAAGGCAATCAAGCGATCCTCAGGATCATATATCCTGCGGCAGTTATCCTTGAATCCAACCGAGTAGCCTTGATCAGTCATCTGATTAACACTGAGTAGATTCTGTGAGAGGGTAGGAACAAAATTTACATCAGTGATAAATTTTTTACCTTCCTTGGTTTCAATGGCAATGTTGCCTTTGCCCTTGATGGTTTCCAGCATGCCATTTTCAAGTCTTACTTGGCCTGTTGCTGATTTGTCAAGTGACACAAACATGGCTTCATTCTTGCACATGTGAGAAGTGCAACCACTATCAACAACCCAGAGGCTGTCGTCTTCCACTGTCAATTCACTTGAAGTAACAAGAATTGTATTACTTTGCTCACTGGATATCTCAGTGATATTTATATGTTGCAACTCCTGCTTAGATTGTGCCGCTTCCAGCTTTTGTTTTTGCCGACAGAACTTCTCCTTATGGCCCACTCTTTTGCAGAAGTTGCATTGGATAGCTTTCTTTCCCTTATACCAGCATTCATTCTCAAAATGATTTGTGAGGGAGCAAATGCTGCAAGGAGGATACTTCTTCTGTTTTCTGAAACTTTAGTTTCCAGTTTGATTTCCTCCATTCCTTCTCCCTTGATACTGATTTGAAGGGGTAGCTTTGACTTGAGATGAGAATAAGGCTCCTTCAATAGGTACACGAGCATGCATGTTGACACGTTGCTCCTGTATTTGCAGCTTATTGATTAGTTCAGCTGAAGAAATCTTATCAATATCTGCATGTTCCTCCAAAGCTGAGATTTTAGACTCAAATTTTAGTGGTAAGCTTATAAGAATTTGTTCTACCACCCTTGATTCAGGAAAGTCCTCCCCCAACAATCTCATTTTATTCACAATATCCGAGAGTTTGGAGGCATAGTCCCTAACAGACTCATTTTCCTGCATTCTGAATAATGCAAATTCACTTTTTAACCTCAGTAACTTGATCTTCTTGCTTCTGTCTCCTCTATCAAACTCTTCCTTCAGTTTCTCCCACGCTTCCTTAGGTGATTCATAGTTCATAATCCTAGAGAAAACCCTGTCCGAAACCGCTGAGAAGAGATAGACAAGTGCTTTTGGTTTCTTGGTCTTCTCTTCCTCATGTCTTTTAATCTGGTTCAAGGTAGCAGTTTCTTGTAGTGGAGTTGGTTCGCTATCGTCTATAATAACGTCCCATAAACCTAGAGCTTTGAGGTGAGCTCTCATCTTTATTGCCCACATATGGTAATTTTCTCCGTTGAACTGCAGAGCAGGGGTAGTTCCTGAGGTTGCCATCGGGTTTGAGAAAATTTTTTTTGATTCACCTGATACGGGGGAGAACCAGGCTCTGATACCAGTTGTTAGTCGAAAAACGAAGAGCTTTGAAATAGGCTCTGCAGAACAAACTTAGAGAGAGAGTTGAGGAGAGAGAGAGGGCAGCAAAACAGAGCAAAAACCTGCAACTGCCTCTGTTTTGCTGTTTTCTAAGAGGAGTTTCACTTTCTGTTTTTTTTTAGAGAAGAAGATAATTGATCTTTTTATTTCAGCATATATATAGAGATATCGATTACAAGTGATCAAGTCAAATCATCCGAAAAACATGCATACACGTCTCGTGAAGTTTACGTATCCTACTGTGATACATCTTCTCGATAGATTTCCTTCCTTTTGAATTTAAACTGAACAGATAAAAAAGTCATTAATTTTAACATTTTATGGAAAAACCTGGATCTACTAGTTCAGGTTTATCAAATCGATCGCTCCTCTGTATGTTAATAGTTAAGTCATTCGCTACATACAGTATTGATAGTGTAATATATTGCGTATGCTAAAGGGGGAAAATTCAGGAAGAGAAAAATCGCTCGTGGATTTTTTTCGATTACACATTCGGTTTGAGCTAAGATCAACCTCCAACAGGTGTCATCATCAAAAAGGAATATCAACGACAATTCTTCTATAATTTGAGCCCAGTTGAGGTATCAACAACCCTAAACCCTAAAGTAATAAAATAAAATAAAATAAAATTAATTAAATCATCATGTATATGTATAAGATATAGGATTGGACATTAGCCTTAATGTTGGTACGACCAGCACCAGCAAGTGCACTGCGAGGAGCTCCGCTGCCAGAAACACCAGAGGCGGAAGGTGTGCCGCGTGTGTATATAAAGACATTGCAGGATCGAGCGGTTGAGCCGAGCAAGCAACAAGAAATGATAAGTAAATGGCCTCCTGCTCTGGTATTTGATTTAGACAGCCATCAATCCCCATTTTTCTCCACCCCATCTGCTCTCTTTGCTTTCCTGCTCCAAGCTGCTGCTTCTTTAAACTCAACTTAATAATAGTTACAATGTGAATGCTTCCTCCAACAATGGTATATTATACATATATATATATATATATGCATTATGTTTGTAGAAATAATAATTTGAAATTATTATATGAGTCTTAGATTACATATAGATTATTGAAATTATTAAATAAATCTCACAATTCATATGCTTATTAGAATTTCTAAGCAATAAAGTATTGAGTCTAGTAATTAATTTAAAAATATCTTTTGGGTATTATCTCACTATTAAGAATATTTAAGATGTATCTCTTGGTTTGATTGTTGTACCTATAAATACCTCCTTCTCTACTGGGCATTTGAAAGCAAGCAAAGAAAAAATTCTCTCTTTATAATTTTCTTTTCTCAAATAAAGAACAAAGCATTATCAAAGTAAAATTCTTTAAAGTTGAAAGAAGAGTGTGGACAATTAAAAGATGACCAACAATGTAGTTTCTTTCTTCCAATTCACTCAGTCTCATAAAGGAGGATTATGAAAGATGGTGTTTGCTACAATTGAGTAATGTGAGGCTCAACTTTTGGTAAAGATAAATTTGAATATTTTTTAAAATTATTATAAATTTTATTAGAAATGGGATCAGACACTATAAAAATTAAAATTGATTGATCGTGTTTTAAAAATTTTAAATCCGAAATGATTGAAGAGTTGGAAAGATATTAGACACACATTCTTTGATGTAATTTAGTTAATTGTGATATTTAATTATTTATTTATATTATTTTTTAATTTGTCATTATAATTTTTTTGTGTTTTTTTTTTATTTTTTTTTCTTTCTCTTCTTTTATTACTATATAGTATTATCTTTATGATGACGCGTATGATGTGTTACATACATTTATAATTAATTATTATGTTATTTGTAAAGCATAGGGGATGAAAATTTAAAATAAACTAAAAAAACATAGTGTTTTATTTGACTTTTGTTTTCTAGAAGTTTAGTGCCTTTTTGGCCAGATTTTTCATCTATTTTGTTATTAGAAATTAAAGTATATATACGTTTTAACAAACACAAAGTAGTTATTTTTTGTTTGGTATTTAAATTAATGTAAGTCTCATTTAAATTTTGGCTTCAACTCTAACTCAATAAACTAATTATTGCTTTACCTGAATGATTTATATGTTTATTTTTTTATTAGAGTCGAATCATATTTTCATGTGTTTCATTTAGAGATTATATGTATTTTGTTATAACTAATATTTATGTATCATTTATTTGATCACTATATGCGTTCTTAATTTTGATTATAACTCTCTCCATAACTTATAAATCTGAAAAGATAATTACCGATAAATTGTTTTTCTACCTTTTGACATCAAGCACTTCATCATCTCTTCTTATAATCTCCATGTTTAACCTTAACTCTTGCTCTTGCAGTCGTTGTTAGCCACTTTGTCTCCAATCTCGTTGTCTTAAAATTATAATTATAATTATAATTATTTTTTAGTTTTCAACTTCATTTCCTGTCTATTATTTACTTCACTCTCCCACCTTGTGTCTTGTTTTTTTTTACTCAATGCATTGAATTTAAGTGTTTGGATTAAATACCATTAAAGAAGAGTAAACAAAAAGAATACATCTACTCCTCTGCTGCCGGCAGATGGCTACCTTTATCTACACTTTCCTAAAATCCTTGTTGCAAAAAGCTTTCTAAGTGAATCTATCTCCCCTTCATAACATGGAATATTAGAGTGGGAAAGAATGAGGAAAAGAAACAAATGAAACTTTGGGTCAAACACTAATCAAATTGAATGCAATTTGAATGTAGAGTTCAATAATGAGGCGGAAGACATAAAAGCACTTGAAATGAGCGAGAGGAGAGTTAAGAATCTATTCAGTACATGCAAATATTTTTTAATTTTTATTTTTAAGCCGTATGTGTATTCATAAAAGCACGTGGAAGCTACCTACATATTATTTACAAACCGGTCTTTGCTTTAGGCATATATATAAGGCAGGGAACCGGCGGGGGGGGGGGGGGGGGAGGGAGGGGGAGGGAGGTGAAGAAGGAAATATTGAGCGACTATGAGTGAGGAAAAGGCAAATCCAAAGGCGCATCTTGTGTTCGTTCATGGTGCATCACATGGGGCGTGGTGCTGGTACAAGATCAGATCTTTTCTGGAGACCGCCGGCTACAGTGCGATCTGCCTGGACCTCGCCGGTGCCGGAATCGACCTTACTGATCCCAATACTGTTCTCACCTTCGAACAACACAACCGCCCTCTATTCGATTTCTTCTCTACTTTGCCGCCCGGCGAAAAGGTCACCTACGTGTATATATAGTCATACACTATGCACACTCGATGTATATATATATATATATATATCTCCTCATCTACGCCCTGGTTTATTGTTTTACAGGTGATAGTGGTAGCACACAGTGCAGCAGGTTCGTCCTTGACATATGCTCTTTGCAACTTCACTAACCAGATTTCCATGGCAATCTACGTTGCCGCTGGAATGGAAAAACCTGGATCCATCGATCACTCTGTAAGTTAATAATGAATTAATCCTTCTTAATCTTTACATTAATTATTACATCATGTGAAGATGCAGTGAGGGAGATTAACCTATTTACTTAGTTGAAGTTAATTTTACTAGATCGGGATATAAGTTATATATGAGGAGCAGTGAAATTAATCATTACTAGTTCAAATATATATATATATATTTATGTGTGTGTGTGTGTGTGTGGAGGGACTGGGTTGGGGGATCTACCTTATCTTATAGACAGATATATCATATAGATAGCATGTTAAAGGCTGAAAAACGAAAGCCGTCAAAATAAAACCTTATCTCCTTATCGTTCTTGCATTTCGGATTTCTCAATGGATACTTGATGCTCTTATTAATGTACTTATAATTTAATGATAATTAAATGCTATTATTGCATTTCGGATTTTGAAAAGAAAAATATGTTTTATGATTTAATGAACAAAAGTTAAGCAGGTAATTATTACTATAATTTTCTTTTAAAAGAATCTATATATAAATATGAGTTTACTTATATTGTGTGGTTGTTATTATATATATATATACATATATATAGGTTAATTTATGGTATAGAAGGTTGCCGCCACTAACGGAGGTGTTCGACTGCACATATGCATTAGGTGAAGACCAACCCCCAACCAGTATCATCATGAAAAAAGAATATCAAAGGGTATATTACTACAACTTGAGCCCTTTAGAGGTGAGCATGCAATTGCACTGCCATTCATACATTTCACAAAATTAAATATATAACTAATGATTAGTTAATTAATTAAGTTGTTTGTATTATTAGTAGGTAATTAATTTAGTGAATAAATTAATTTATAGGACTCAACATTAGCCTCCATGCTGCTACGACCAACACCAGCAAGAGCATCTTTAAGAGATTTGGGTGAATCGAAAGAGGCAGAGCTTGTGCCTCGTGTGTTCATAAAGACATTGCAGGACCGAATCATTGATCCGAGCAAGCAAGATGAGATGATAAGAAAGTGGCCTCCTTCTCTGGTCTTCACTTTGGACAGCGATCACTCTCCTTTTTTCTCTGCACCCGAAGCTCTATTTAATTTTCTGCTACAGGTTATTGCTTCTCTCAAATCAGCTTAATTAAAATTATATAAAGACTATATCTTGACTGAATGACTATATTATGTATGTTATAAGAAATTATATTATTATTATATTGCGCATATTCCATTGTACAAGTTCATATGTAAGAAAAATTGTATGACAATTGTATGTTGTTTTCTTTTTTTTATTTTATTTTCTTTGGTAACAACGATGAACATATGACTATATTTAATTATGAGGTTATATCTAGTTAATCATTTATTACCATAATAACATAATAGTTACAGTGCATGTCTCTACTTTCCTCGTCCAAGCTACAGCTTCTATAAACTCAACTTAGTAATAATAATTATTATATAAATGCCTCCTCCAACAATCGTTATATATATTTATTATGTTGAGAGAAGAGTGAAAATTTAACAATACAGTTTCCTTCTTCCAATTCTCTCGCCTCACAAAGGAGAATTATAAGAGATGATGTTTGTCACAATTGGGTGATGCAAGGCTCAACTTACTCAAAAGTGAAAAATATTAATCACGTTTTAGAGATTCTAAGTTCGAGAAGATTAATAAATTAAGCGGGTGTTAACTCATCCCGTAATATAACTTAGTTAATTGTGATTAACATGCTTACTCATTTATTTATTTATATTATGGTTATTCTTTTCTTTGTTACTACTTAATATTGCCTATATGATGATGAGTATGATGTGGTGCGTACATTTATCATGATATATTATTCGCAAAGCATAAGAAATAGAGAATCTAAAATACATCTAAATTTAATATTAAATTAAAAAAAAATAATTTTTCATTGTTTTATTTGACTTTTGTTTTCTAACAGCATAGTACTTTTTCAAACAATTTTTCGTCTATTTTGTTATTAGAAATTAAAATATATATAAGTTTTACCAAAGATTAAAAAAAATAAACATCTTTCGTTTTTATCTAAATTTAATGTTTGATTTAAAATCTCATTTAAATTCTACATTTAACTCTAACTCAGTAAATTAATTACTATTTAACTTAATAATTTATTTATCATTTTCTTTATAAGAAATTGTATTTTTGAATTAGATTATATTTTTTTATGCATAATTTGAAGATTATATGTATGGTGTTATTACTGATTTTATATATCACATATTTGATTAATATATGCATCATTAGCTCAAAAAAAAAAAAAGTAATTCAACATAGTAACACCTTATGATATCCTCTATTGCTTGACGATAACTCTCTCCATAACTTGTAAATAAAAAAGGATAATCACCAATGAATTGTCTTTCCACCTTTTGACATCTAACACTTCCTCATCTCTTCTTTTAATCTCTATGACAGCTTAGTTTAACTTTTAAGTCTTACTTTTGCACTCTCTGTTATTTATTTTGTCTCTACACTTATTGTCTTAAAATTATAATTATAATTATTTTTTATTTTTTAATTTTCACTCTTTGTTTATCATGTACTTCACTGTCCTATCTTATATAATATTTTAACGCATTTATATTTTGTACACTTTGTTAGTATTACTACATCTGCATGATTTTACTGTTATGATTAATATTGTTAAAAAAAAATTATTCAAAAAATATACCTCTACTCCTCTACTCCCACCGGATAGCTACCTTTATCTACCATCCTTCTCTATGCTTTCATAAAGTCCTTGTTACGAAAAGCTTACTAACATGGATCATGAGTGGCAAAGAATGACGAAAAGAAGTAAATGAGACTTTGGGCCAAATACTAATAAAGTTAAATACAGTTTGAGTATAAACAAATCCTCAATATTGAGATGGAAAATAATAACACTTGAAATGAGCGAGGAGAGAGTTAAGGATTTATTCAGTACATGAAAATATTTTTTAATTTGTATTTTTTAAATTATATGTGCATTCATAAGAGATGTGTTTATATGTTTTGAATTAATTGAGACAAAAATAAAATAATTTTTTTAAAAATCTAAAAATTGCATTTAATTTTTTTTTAAATCATTATTCTCTTCATTTTCAACTATTTGTAAACGAAATAAGTATAAGTTTTAAAAAATAAATATAGAAAATATGTATGTAATTGAGGAACATATTTGATTTTTCAAGTGTTCTTGATGAGTTTTGACTAATTGCAAGTGAAACAGTTGCTGCATTTAATTATTGTATCTAGCTATTTCACATTTTTTAGCTCATCAGTTGCCATCAAAGGTATAATCTTCATAAACCGGTCTTTGCTTTAGATTTATGTCACAGGCAGAAAATATTGAGTGATTATGAGTGAGGAAAAGGAAAATCCAAGGTGCATCTTGTGTTCGTCCATGGTGCATGCCATGGCGCCTGGTGCTGGTAAAAGATCATATCTCTTCTGGAGACCGCCGGCTACAACGTCACCTGCCTGGATCTCGCCGGTGCCGGAATCGATTTTACCGATCCCAACACTGTTCTCACTTTCCAACAACACAACCGCCCTCTCTTCGATCTCTTCTCTACTTTGCTGCCCGGCGAAAAGTTCACCTACGTATATATATACATATACACTATAAACACTCAGTACATACATATACATATATATATTCATTTATTGTTTTGCAGGTGATAGTGGTAGCACACAGCGTATCAGGTTCGTCCTTGATATATGCTCTTTGCAACTTCACTAACCAGATTTCCATGGCAATCTACGTTGCCGCTGGAATGGAAAAACCTGGATCCATCGATCAATCTGTGAGTTAATAACGAATTAATCCTTCTTAATTTTTACATTAATTATTACATCAATGTGAAGATGCATTGAGGGAGATTAACCTATTTACTTGGTTGAAGTTAGTTTTACTAGATCGGATATAAAGTTATATATGAGGAGCAGTGAAATTAATCATTACTAGTTCAAATATATATATATATATGTATATATATATGGAGGTACTGTGCACGGGGAGTCTATCTTATCTTATATATGGATATATATCATAATGCATATCATCTTATAGGCTGAAAAAAGAAGCCGGAAAAGTCAAACCTAATGTCCAAACTGTTCATGCATTTCGGAATTTCTCAATGGCCACGTGATGCTGTTTCTGTAGTTGATATAATAATTAATACCAATAAATTATTTTTATTCTTATAATCATTATAGACATACATACATTTTTTATATGCATCTTAATATATCATAGTACAATTAACTCTATTTTCTTATCGCCATTTAAATATTAATCATACATAGATTATTCAAAACAAAAAAGGTGCATGATCTAATTTACATAATATATATTTATAACCTAATACAAAATATATAAATATTATTTCTTGGTACCAAACGTAATTTTTATCTCTCACACACTAACAGTGGAAACCATCGTAGAAAAGAAAAAATTACATAACAAACATGTAAATAAGGTGTTGCTTAAATATATAATTTTTACTTGCAATATTAAGATGCAAATTTTTATGGGATTGATCTAATTTTATTGGGATAATATTTGTTGACAAGGAGATTGCATATGAAAAGAATATTATTTTTTATAATTTAATGGACAAAGAGTTAACAGGTAATTATCACTACAAGTTAAAGAAAATATATATATATATGTACGAATTCACTTATATTGTGTGATTGTATGTTGTATATGTATATAGGCTAATTTACGGTACAGTAGAAAGGAGGAAAATGCAGGAAGAAGGTTGGGGCCATCAATGGAAGTGTTTGACTATATATATGCATTAGGTGAAGACCAACCCCCCAACCGGGCTCATCATGAAGAAAGAATATCAACGGGAATATTACTATAATTTGAGCCCTCTAGAGGAGAGCATACAATGATTAGTGAATCAATTAATTAAGTAATCTGCATCATTAGTAGGTAATTAATTAGTAATAAATTAATTTATAGGACTCAACATTAGCCTCAATGCTGCTACGACCAGCAACAATAAAGGGCATATTTAAGAGACTTGGCTGAATCAGAAGAGGCAGACCGTGTGCCTCGTGTGTTCATGAAGACATTGCAAGATCGAATTTTTGATCCGAGCAAGCAAGATGAGATAATAAGAAAATGGCCTCCTTCTCTGGTGTTCACTTTGGATAGCGATCACTCTCCTTTTTTCTCCGCACCCGAAGCTCTATTTAATTGTATGCTCGAGGCTATCGCTTCTATCAAATTAATATAATTATTTTTTAACTGTCTGAGTATATCATGTATGGTACTATTATGAATTTGTATTATTATTAATGTGTATATTTAAAAAAAAAATTGTATAATATAATTCTGTACTATTCTATTAATGTCTAAAAATAATCCACTACTTATGTAAGCAGTCCAAATTTTTGTCTTGGTTTCTCAACTGGATTAACTTTTTATGTCTCTCTTCCTAGGTTTTTTCACGATTCCCTCTTATATACCTTGAGCATATACTCGGATGCAAAAATAACATTTCCTCGTTTCTTTCAACTTATGCTAAAAACCAACACGACAGCAACCTATCATTTTTGCTCCTACGTACATGCTCTTGTATGTATATAAGTAATATATTAGTACCCTTGTTCTCAGCCTATACATGTACCCGAATGCATAGACGCAATCTTTTCTCTCACCGATAAATTTGCTGCGGTGGAAATATATCTGAGAATCTCCTTTGAGATGGAAAGCTACAAGAGTTTCTGTACCGGAGTTTATTTTCTTTGTCTGGCCTTGGCCATTTTTACTATTGGCTGTGCCAACGCTGAAAGTAATTAACTTTTTTTATACCCATCTTGCTCTTGAATACATAATAGCAAAATGAAGATTGATGTTAATGCTTGTATGGATGTTTTGTGTTTTTCAGATAAGACAGAGCCCAGGATAAATCCCAACTTGGGTCCAGTTTGGGGATGGAGAAGTGCCTATGAATGCATTTTAAACGTATATAATTATTTGCACCTCCTGTCAAATATATAATTAGATATGAGATTTTTGTTTGGTCGGTAAATTTTCCGTGTCTGCGTCTGTAGGTATCTAGGCATTGTACGAAAGAAGGATATGCACTGACACTGAGCGGGTTAATCGACGTGAACACATCAGAAGCGGCGGATTTTTGTGGAGGAGGATGCGCAGAGCATACCAGGGATGTGCTTAAATGTATTCATGATGTCAAACGAGATTTCTGGTTCGGCAACCGCGCCACCGTTGATGTTCTTTTCGATGCCATCGACGCCGGCTGCTCACCAAACTCTAAAGCAGGTTGATTAATGATGTTTTAGTATTTGCAGTGTTGAGTATTTTCATGTTACAGGTTTTAACATCATGGTGATCGAATTGCAGGTATCAGTACGGTGGGTTACAGTGGTGCGGGAAAGGTTTATACGTCTTTCGTATTGTCTTTCATAGCATCGCTGCTCTTGCTGTTTGCGTTGCAAGTCTGACAGATTTGCTTCAATGAAAAAGTTACATATATATATATATATATATATAAACATATATCATGTGTGTTTATCCTGTGAGAAATAAAGAGACTGCAACATACGTCTACACTGTGAATTACTTATTCTATTTTTCTAATAATAATATGACACTCAAAAAATTTTATCTGCGATGATAACTATCAGTCAATAGTTATTGCTGATGAAAGTACGTATAATCTTAAACAAAAATTTATGCCAAAGCCTCAAATTACCCTGATAAGTATAACGTTTATTTACTTTTAATCCATAAAACAATAAAATGGCCAAGGCGCAATCCTTGAGAGGCATGAAACCTGTATCGCACATTGCAAATCAGATCCAAACATTTTAAATTCAATGGCATAGCCCTTTTTTATATATCGCAGCGGACAACTTCCCAGGAAATGTTAAAAGCTGGTTTTATATATATATATATATAGCATATATTAATCAGCATTGACAGTCATAATACACATGCTACTTTAACAGAAGTCAATGAGGATTTTCGCATATGATTCATATCATTCAAGAAATCAAATAAGCTGAACCAAACTCTTGCCGTGGAATAAAAAGAAAACAAAACAAACAAACAAAAAAGAAAAGACAAGGGCATCAATTCCAAACAAGCAACTCCATAGTACTACCCAGCTACATATATTGCAATTATTAAACTTCAAGCCAATACAACGTAAACTGTTCTCTCCAAAAAAGAAAAAAGAAAAGAAAAGAGGAAACTGTGGATCATTAATACATCCGTAAGCTCATAGGTTTCAGAAGGCTGCATATTGAAATAACTCTCTCATGTCCCTGCATTCCTACGACCAACACGGGCAACAAAACCAGCTTTGATCGGAGCAACCGATCGTCCAGAACCGCACTGCAAGAATGTCATACAATCAATTAGCTCACAAAATAGAACCAGATAATAAATAAAATTAGATCCAAGCACACAACTGGAATACATCCCACCAATTGAACGACCATAATTATGAATCAATACACACAAATATAACCCTGAGGAAGAAAAACATCAGTATAATAGTTGCATAGCAAATGTTGTTACAAACAATTTTTATCAGACTCGAAAGCTGTCTTTCTGTTGGACTTGGAAAGAAAACATCACTATAAGCCCACCATAACAGAACACCCCCAAAAGCTACATACGATTTCTGTCTACTAAGAAACATGGGAAAGAAAAAAAAAATACATGACCATAAGAGCACAAATGCCACATTCATTGCACGACTCTAACCATGTACAACTATATTGCTAACCATTCTCTCCACCCCGCACCCTTGCCCCTCCCTGGTTGTCCCCTTGCTGGTGCAAACAAATACAAATTGTCCAATTTCAAGTAAACAAGATAGTAGCATTCATAAAAACTTTTGAATCCAAAATGTCTTCCTATTATGAGCATGAGTAGGCCGTCAACATATCTGTCAGATGACAATCTGACAATATAGGCAATTCTTCAACATCATAGGCCTTTGACCAACAATAATCAGTAAACCTAAATATCTAACACTGCTCAGATAAAAATTACCAATCGAAAAGGGCAAGGAACATGTTTTTCTTGTTTGCATCACTACAAGAGAAAAATAACAAATAGAATTGCTAGAATACTTTATTTAGTTTAGCTATATAAAGAAAGGATACACTGCCAGGTAGTTTCAGTTGTATCCTCAAAAAATAAGTAAACATTTGAACATAAAATAACAATTTATGATAATTACTAAATCATTTTGCCCCTCCTTTCTTTTTACTTTTCTAAGTTATGCCGCTTGTATACCTTCCATAATTCAGTAATAAATCACTGTTTTTTAAAATCATATAAGTTGAGATTAAGTCATAACAATAATAGCAGTCTGATTAAAATAAACACCACAATTAGGAACTTCAGCGAGAGTAAGAACAGAAGGTATCTTCCAGGAGATCTCAGAATAACACTTTCTCTATCATTATCAAGACATTCTGACAATGTAGGCAGTTGTCATGTCATCACAGACGTCCTTAGAAGACAATTTTTGGAAAAAAAATTAAATTATTAAAAACCCTCTCTTATAACAATGACAGAGAACACTTAGTGCTATCTGAATATCATATACAAGTATAACAACAGTCATATCTGAACAGTGAGAGGCATATAAATTTCCCCAATCAGGGGGAATGGGAAAGGATGATTTGTAAGCGAACCCTTGATGTTCAGCTGTCTTTATTTCCCTTTTTTTATTTTTTACCCAAATAAGGAAAAGGATTGTCTGTTTCCCCAGCTTTCTTTTCATTCTCCTTTAGTTCTCTCCAGTCCCAATCCACAGAATAAACCTTTCAAAAATTCGTCCTAACCCGTTGCTAAAACAAAAACCATAATGAATAATGTAAGATTCTGATTTAAGACCACAATATCCAATCAGCATGAAGGAAACGAAAGGGAATATAGCAGCACAAGGCATCCTTCCTAGAGGCCTCAGAACAGCACTTCGTCATTGTTAAGACATTCTGACAATGTAGGCATTTCTCAAGTCATCATAGGCCTCCACGTTAAAAGATTCTAATTAAAAGAAGAAACTACCAAGGACTCCATCTCATATTGATGATACCAATATCTTAACATTGCCCTTATGCTTTCAGAATAAATCTGAATAGTGAGAGGCAAAAGATTGTTACCTTCTCAAATCTGAGAAATTATTTATTTAGTTCCTTTCACTCCCTTCTCTTTCAACCCAATTTGGGGAAATAGGAAAATTTATTTTTACACAGGCCCTTTCCCTTTCCTCTTTTTTTATAATATCTTATCTAAGGAACAAAGATGTCCCTTTTCCTGGCTTTCCTTTCCTTTCCTTTTCCTTTCCTTTACTGATCTAAATCCATATGTTAGTTGAACCTTCCAAAATTTTAGATTACCTCATTGTCAAAACAGTCTCAAACAAGTGACTAAAACCAAGTGATCAAATACTACAGCAGTCTGATATAAACACCAGAATATAAAGATGCAGGAAACTTAAGTGACAATAGAAACGCAAGGCATCCTTTCAGAAGGCCTCAGAACAATACTTCTCTGTCATTTTCAAGACATTCTGACAATGTAGGCAATTGTCATGTCATCATAGGCCGCCTCAGAAAAAGATTTTAGAGAGAGAAAATCAGATAGCCAAGGACCCTCTCATATCTTAATGACATGAAATTCTATGATTATCTTTTATGCTTTCAGAAAATTTAATGCAAATATAACAGCTGTCGTATCTGGATAGCAAGAAGCATATAGACCGCTACCTTCTCACATCTGAGAAAGAAAAGTCGATTCTCTTTCGAGAGAATTGTGTCTGGACTTTTACACCCAAGGCAGATAACATACTCATCTGCAAACATAATGTGACAAAAAATAATATTAATAAGCGATAGAAAAACACAGTTCTGAGATTCAGTTATACAGTGACAAACGACATTAAAATGGCCCTAAAAGCTCAATACTTACTGACATATCGCCGTAGGATTCCTTCAAAATTTTTGGGAGCAAATCTCCCTTTGACAACCAATCTTTGCTGCCCGTCAAGTGATCCACTTGTACCCAGCTCAGCAAGCAAGAAAGCCATGACATGGTCTGGTTGCCGATGCATCCTACAAAATTACCAAATTAAGGAAAATGTAAGGGAGGAATTAAAGTTTCCCATCAAAAAATTAGTTAACAAATTAGCCAAAATATATAGCACCAGATAATAATCCGAAGTAACAGACCAGTGGCACTATGATCAATAAACTCAATTATGGCGAAAACTTTATTGAAGTTACTGTCACCAGTTTGTAAATAAGAACCAAAAAAACTATCGTATTACTAGCCTTTGGTAATCTATGCAAAAATACGGCAATGTATGTTCTCATATGGGTGTCAGCGGTCAAACCAAAAGACCTTTGAGATGAGCTAGTAAAGTCTAGGAAAAGGTAGTAATAAAAAAAAAATCATACTGCTTTGATAAGCAAAGGATTCACAAGCAAAAGCAAAATCCAGGATTAATATCTCCTGTTTACCATGATTTGCAAAAAGTTATTTAGTATTGAGAAACAGATAAGCAATATAATATTTATGAAAATAATTTAAACATACGTCTTGCACAGGTCCATGAAGTTCACGAAAACAGTCTTCTTTGTGCCCTCACGTAGGACCTGGGGAGGCCTCATAACAGTTCTACGCCTATCGCCTGCAAGCTCTGGGTTATTCTCCCGGAGAATATTAAAGACCCTACCCAGAAGCTGCAGGAGCCATATCATATAAGTAGTACACAGAATTGTTAGAGAAGAAATATTTAACATTAAAGTAGAGAAAACAAGAGAATACAACAGCTTCAAACATAAGGAAATCAGGAAAATATCGCAATTGCAATTCAGAAAGAAATGAAAGGAAAAGAATATAAATACCTCCTCATACTCATAATCACGGTCACTCCCATCCCAAGGGTATTGCTGTTGTGGGGAAACTCCACCTTCTTCATCCTCAGCAACATGCTCTGCACGATGCTATCAATTATAATGAAACTTCTGAATAATTTAATTGTCAATCTTAAGAACAATTCTTCTTACCATCCCCGTCTTCTCCTGCATCCAGACTCTCCTCGTTCAACAAGTTAGTTTCTACCTACAATAACAAACCAAGAATCCTCAATGTTAATTCCTTAGGAAAATACAAATGTTTTCCACATGAAGTACTAATTGAAAAACTATTCCTCTGTCTTAATTTGGGAAGCTTACAGGTTTCTTCTTCTTCTTTTTCAAACCAACGAAGGTACTTTCAAGTCCCTCAGAGACTGTATATAAAGAAAAAAAAAAAGAAATACTGAAAAACAACAACTCTAAAAAAAGGAGTTCCTGACTATCTGGAACTGTCAAAGCAACATGGAAGGCCACAGGAATAGATAAGCATGAATTAATCTACTCACCTGACAAAGTTTCAGTTTTCTCAGCCAGCTTTTCCACAGAATCATCTGCAGGATCCTGTATTACAACCTTCTTCTTTTTCTTCTTTTTGGCAGGATCAAAAGGTGCAAGCTGGATTGAAGATACTTGTCAGGAAATTCAAGAAAACATCAAAACAAAATAGTATCACTTTCAATAATTATTCTTGAACAGTTAATAACATGAAACATGAATTCTAAAATACTGATTGAAATTAACAAAACCTCAAGAATCCCCGTTGGAAGTTAACATGACCAAAAGGAAATAAAATAACATATAAAACATACTTCTGACACCTCCTCCCTCGAGTCCATGGTAGCCTCGTCCGCCATGACTCCTACATATATAAAAAGACACCGCAAATCTCAATAATAACAAAAACTCATTTAAAAAATTAAGCTCATTTCCGTTGTGCACGTTGACTCTAATCTTTTTGTTATCACAGAACAGCATCATGCCTCTCAAAGGTTTATAAAACACCATCGAGGCAATACTAACATGCCAAAATTTTTCAAGAACACTGACCGGATCAAGTTAATGAAAAATGAGAATGGAAAAGATATCACAAGAACCAGAGAATCATCATTTATTCAATCCTGTGTATCGTGAAAGAATCGAGAAACAAGGTAGAAAATCAGAGGCAGTATTCTATAATTCTAGTAATCAAGCATGTAAAGAACATAATCCACAAATCGAATGCATATACAATTCCACTGAGGTATACGGTAGTGAGAAACCTTTGTGGGCGAGCTCAGACGTCCAAGGCTGAAGGCAGAGCAACGCGGCGGGCGTCGGTAAGTTTGAGAAAGAGCGGTGCGCTTGGTCAGGCGTTTGGGCTTCGACGGCGGAAAGAGTGGATAGAGCGAGTTTCAGTGGCGACGAGAAAGGGCTAGCTAACGGGCTCAGGGTTTAGGAGAAATGAACAGTTGAAAGATCGATTAGCAAGAAAGGAGTCACTCGCCCAGAGGATCTATACGACAACGTTTTCTTCCCCGCCACCTAGGGTTTAAACTGGGCTGAATACTTGCGTATCAAAGTTCCTGGGCCATGGCAGTTTCTGGATGGAGCTTTTAGGCCCGAATCTTAAACGAGTAGTACTATAGACTTCAAATCAATATGAATTAAAAATTAAACATAAAGTTTATTATATATAAGAACATTAAATTTGAGAAAGTTTAAGAAAATAATATTAAACATTTACTATTTCTTAATTTAATTTAATATAATTTATTTTTAATAAATTTATTACAAAATAAATGTGGTAATGATAGAAGATATTTATTTTAAAATAAATTTTATTTTGCGTTTTAAATTCCATCATATTTAGTCAATGAAATTTTTTATAAAAAAAAATTAGTTTAGAAAATGACTTTTAAAAAATGTTGCTTATATTTGTGCAAGTGATTCGAAATTCCACAAAATTTTATAAATATTAAAATATTCATTTATAAATTGTGGAAAAAGTAATTATGCATAACAAAAATTATTTGCTAAAGCTAAATATTATTCGAAGAATTGAGATAAAACTCGAAAAATTTAGAATTTATTTTAACTCATACAACTTTTCGTTCAATTCTTTAAAAATCATTGAATTTTATTTTCATTTTTTCACAATATCACAAAAAATATTTAGAATAAATTCAGTCATATTTTCATGTTTGAAACATTTTTTATTTTTTATTATTCTTCGAAATTTGACACATATATGTCTGTATTTGGTCAAATCAAGTTTGCTGTTATCTAGGTAGACTTTTGTGACATTTGACTATTCCTCATGGCATGTGGAATTTTCCTCTCTTTTAGCTTCTGTATGTATATCTATCTTCTTTTTTTTTAGCGGTATCTTACAAATAAGTAGGTATTACAATTTTTTTGGGCAATGTAAAAATTTATTTTTATAGATATGCGCTACCATAATTTTTTTATTTAATATAATATAATGTATATATTTTGTGCTAAATAATAGTTTTAATATGAACAAAAAAGTTGAATAAAATTTGTTACTTTGCTACCATAATTTCTTAACTTATGTATACTTTTGACATTTCCCAGAAGTTTCTTTATTTTGTTGTTTTCTGATTGTCTCTGTAATTGTATTTCTAAGACATCCCCACTTGCGAGGGGAATGAAAGTGGCTCAACTCAAGTGTACTGTAACGACCCCGAAAATTCAAAAAGAAATATATAATAATTTAAATATAAAAATAAAATAAAAAGTTAAGATTTACATCGCTTACACAATAACTTAAAAGTACTAAATAAATATAACGGAATGAATTTTCTGAAAAAAAATACGAGAGATGAGAAAAACAAATGAAAAAATATAAAGTATCTAATATCTACTCGCAGTCTTTTTGCGGATCGAGTTCAGGAATCAGGTCCTCTTGATCTAAAATAATTAAATAAGGAATTAGCTACACTAGCGCAATAAAGACATCACACTATATCACCGGTACAGAAGTAAATGTTGGTAGAAAATTAAAACAACCAATTGAGGAGTAAATTTAATGCAATACATTTATTTAAAATAAAACCATTTAACATTTTACTTACCATTAAGGAATTTATGAAAATAAATTATAGAAACAATAATATCATACAGATTATGACTTCATGTACGACCAGCAACATAAAACATATCATAAATTCACATTTATTAACGATAAACAAAATCGTAACCGTTTCTCGTTTTACCAGCCTACTAGTATCTATGGGAATCCATAGGGGTGTCCCTGCTATACGTGAACTCTTTCCCTTAACAGTCTTAATTACATAGTCGATCCCATACCCCATCCGGTATGAGTGTCAAGACATTAAACTTCAATACTCCGCCCGGTATGAGGGTGAAGCGAGCCATTCCTATACCCCGTCTGGTGTGAGACAACATTCACGGTAGGGTTCCCTATGAATCCGGTCCATCCACCATCTCCCAAGATATCTAGTGAGACTATTATTTTATCTATTTATCAGATCACACCCCTTTCATGTTTTTCCTTAGTCTCCGTTACTAAATCAAACATAAATACATAAACAAGTAAACATGCATCCGACAATGCAATCATATCTTAGATCCAAAAATCAAACAGTGGTTAAGTAAGGCAGTAATACATGCATTTAAATCATATAATATATAAACTAGAAACCATCATGCTTTTAGACTGCAAGATTAATCAACAGAAATCAACAGATAACAATGTCCGGTTCGGGCTCCATTAGCAATCCGTAATTAATTATGTACATCTATTTAATTTGTACAAAATACAGTATCATGATTTATTCAAACTTCAATTCTATGATAGGAAATATGATGAGGGGTCCTTACTTGATTTGACGTCGAAAAGCTAAATGGCTTACAGCGCCTACAAGCGGTCTCTAGGTTCCTTAAAGTTTTCTTCGAGAATTGAAACGCGCTTACGATACCTAAAAATGTCCCAAATAACCAAAAAATGAGACCCAGGGCCTACTCAGCCAATTTTAAAAATTCGACACGACAGCTCCGCCATGTTCTGGTGATGCGGCAGCGATCCGCCTTATGTTGGCTGTTTTTGATCGTTTTTGGCCGAATTCAACCAAACTTGTATCAGTTCCTGTGAGAAAACACACTTAGGGCCATCGGTTGGCCGAAAAAACATAAAAAATCGAAACTCACCATGGCAGGGTTCTCCAGTGCGGCGGCTCCTCCGACTCACGTTGCGGTTGGGCGTTTTACTCTGGTCAACATGTAAAGAAGAAAACGGTGATCACAATGGTGGAAAAATTACGCGAAACGGGAATCGGAAAGGGCCTCATCAGAGACGGTTTGTGAAATTTCTTGTGGCAGCGCCGCTGAGCTTCGGCAGCATTTTTCGGCCAATTGGCTGGTTTATTCACTCCGATTTGGCCATGAGTGGGTTTAAAATTGAATTTCGTGTAAGAAATTTTTTTTTTTACCTTTTTTGGAAGTCAAAAAAGGTTCTGGTGCGTCGGCGGGTGGCGGCGGTTGGCTCCCCGGTGGCTAGGCTGTCTTCTCCAGTGAGGGGCTCTGGCGGTTAAGGTTAGCGTTTGGGTGCGTATGGGGTTATTTATACCAATCCGCTTTTGATCTGGGCTGTCCATCGCTTTTGATCTGGGCTGTCCATCGCTTTTGATCTGGACCGTCCGATTGCGATTAAATAGGGAGTGGATCTGAACCGTTCATTGCGATTCAATTTGGACTGTCCGTGCACGATTCAACTTGAGTTGTCCGTGCGCGATCCAATCTGAGTCGTCCGTGCGCGATTTCAATCTGGGTCGTCCGTGCGCGCGTGAATGGACCTCAGCCGTTCGATCGCACGCACGCGGATCACCCACGTGGCTCCTCCCCCTCCCTCCCCCCCCCCATGGCCTCCTGCGTCAGCGCCTCTGCCACCTGGCGCGTCCTGGTTGGTTGGGGCTATTGACCGGGCATCTGACGTTGCGTAATTTTTTTAAATTGTATTTTGACCTCCGGTTTTTTATTTTTCTTTCAAAAATACCATCAGAACCCAAATTTTTATCCATTTTTTTCAAAATTATTTTCAATTAAATCATTAACTAATTTCTCACCCTTTTTATTACTATTATTATTATTAAAATAAAATAAAATAATTTTAATTTAATTAATAAATAATTATATATATATATAAATTAAAAAATTAAATGTTGGGTGTTACATGTACTGTACTAGTGTTCTTTAAATTGATCAAATTTATTTTATGGTTTTATATATGAATAAATAAATTATTTATAGTGATTTTTTTTAATTAATAATTTGTGTTATTTAAGTAGAATTGTACATTTGGCATGTGTTCTCTTTAAAACATTTAATTGTGTTATTTTTTATTAATAGGTTGATTTTATTATTATTAGCATAAAAGTCCAACATAATTATTAAAATTTAAGAATTTCTGCTTCGAAAAATTATAATATTAATTTTTTTAAAACTTTACTTTTGACATTTTCTTTTTTCGAATTATCATAAATTGATCGGAATATTATATATATGTTTTATAGTTACGCAATCTAAAATAATAGTAGAAATACTACCGAATTCGATTCGATACATATTTTATAAAAGATGAACTTGATTTGACTATTAAAAAAAAAAAAATTGAACTTGATTCATTACATTATATATAATGTTATATATTATACATATATGTACTAATATAATACATTTGTATAAATAATAAAATATATTATCGGCAGGAAAAATTAGTTAATAAAAAAATTTTAATTTAAATTATTATTTATATATTAATATTAAAAGATAATAATTAATTAGTTAGTTTTTTAGTTTTACCAACATTAAAATTGTTAATGACGATGACAACTACGTACATTGACAGCAATGAGTGACCGACAACGAGTAATGAAAGAAGGTGTCTTCTGGGTGGCAGATAGTAGCATGTGACGAATGGTGGGCAGAGAACGGTGATCCACCAGCAAGGGAGGCGTTGAGCAGCGGAAGGTGGGTAAGGACGGTAAAGGGCAGGTAGTAGGTAGCATATGTGGGGGGACATAGGGTGATTAGCAGACCACAGAGAGCGGGCAATGCACGGCGGCCGCCTAATGGTGAGCGGTGGGGATGGAGGATAGTGGAAGGTGGGTAAAGCGACCAGGAACAAGCGGTCCCTTTCGATTTCGATTTTATTTTTCGATCCCTAGAAAAGAGTGGAAGAAAGATTGTCTTTTTGTAAAAGGAAGACGAGGGCGCGCAGCTGATGCTCACATGAACCATGCTTCACCATGGATGGCGGTCTTAATTTTAGAAAATGACCAAAACAGAATATGCAACAAAGACAAAGACAAATATTTTCCTTTATATAAAAAATTATCTAAGAAAACAAGATGTATCTTTTCTTGGCTTTCCTTTCCTGTACTGATCTAAAATTTTATATTTTACCTCAATTGTCAAAACAGTATGATATAAACACCAGAATGTAGAGATGCAGGAAAG